CCGTGCTAATGCGATAGTACAATATCTACCTTCTATTTTCCCAGTCGTGCAAAAGAATATCAATCGTAGTCACGTAAAACTCGGTACATGCATTTTCACATAGTATTCGTGCACAAAAATACTACTCTGATTAAGTAGCTGGACCTTAATCAACCTCACTTTCAGCCATCAATTTCTTCTCAACTCGATGATCCATCGCACCTCCGCTCTTTTTCTTATCCTCTTCCACCTCTTCACAACCAACAACACCCCACTTAATATTAGTAACTTCTTCCAACCGGTTCAAGATTTCACACATTGGAGTAAACAAGCCAAACTGCTTAAACTCACCATCGTACGAATGCAACATTCCCAAAACACCCAAACCGCTCGCATTCGAATCCAAATCTTGTAGTTTTGCAAGCACCCAACTTCCACTATCACCTCCACTAGCAAATGCCGAGTTGTGCTCTATTGAGTTGACTATAAATTCCGACGAGTGCATTGCTCCATCGAGCCAATAAACCAATTTAATTCCATTCAAATTACCGCGAGTGTACTTTGTTGTCGACCCGTATTTGAACACAGGTATGCCATTATAGTTGCTCAGCTCCTCTTGAGACGACGTGGATGATAGGTCGGAATCAACCTCGTCGATGTTTTCCTTGATTGTTCTTGGCTTGAATCGCTTAAAATTTAGTACTTTGCGGACATATAAATTATCCAATATGAGTGCAGGATCGTACTCGTTGAATTGTACATCGTCTCCCAAGTAATTATAAGAGCACTTCAAATGCTTATTGACTTTGATAATGGCCAAATCTGAAAGTTTGCGCTCAACGAGTCCACTGATCTCATTGGGAGTTTCCGACAAGTTAATCAAAGTACGTTCACCCCATATAATTTGTCCGAACCTGACCTGTGGTAAATTGCGCATTTCGTAATGTTCTGCAGAATGGTTTTCTTGCACCTTGACCTTCTTCAAAGGAAACATTTCCTCCAACTCATTCAATATTGCCCCATAAGCAACATGACTGTCGCTACTCTGACCAGCTTGTCTCTGATATTGCGCAGTTAAAGCCAGCTTATACAAAGATATCAATGCCGCTGATGGTGAAGCAATGTTGCAATAATGAGACGAGTCCTGGGGGTCCAAGCATACGTGACCACACGATATTGCAAACTTACTGGATGCATAGCTCTTGAGTTGCGGTTGCTTTGTGAGATCTATTTTTGGATACACGTAGCCACCCATGGTTCCAGAGACTCGGTTGGAGCTCTCGGTCGATATTGAAATGGATATGGGAGGTTCCAATGGGTCTGTAGGTACTCTAAATGGTAATTTGAATTTGTGGATAGGACTCAGCAGTAGCGGCTTGTGTCCTGTTGAGATTGATCTAGCTGGTGGCGTATTTTGAACTTTAGCGGAAGCAGGCTCTATTTGATTTCTCACTACAACAACGTGTATATCCTCATATACGTCATGGATACTCTGAGTTAGTTTGTAGTGCATGTCTTGTGGATCAGGATAACCGAAGTAGAGACACAATATACTCAAGCGCAAGGATACTCCCCTCATTATTGGCGCTATAAATGAGCCATTTTGTTCCAGAACGGAAGTGTTTGTTCGTGCAATTCTGTCCATTATACGGGCAATAGAATCTTGATTGGGAAAATGTCCAACACCGTCTGCCCCTATTGCAAAATTCTGTGGTTTGACAATAACATTATTATCGCTGGCATTATCACTGAACATTGAGGCAAAATCATTGAAATGTTTCACCAATAGTAGCCTCAACTTGATATAAACATCATTCTTTAGTAAATTGTCATAAAAATGGAGATAGTACTTGACTATCTTTCTCAAATTCAAATTATTACAAGTGCTGATATGTGAATCCTGTTTTTCTCTAATGCTGCTGTTGAACTCTTTGAAACAATCAATACAACTCACCACCGTTGTAGATATATTAACACTCGAGCTATTGTATTGCATCAAAATGTACGCTAGATCCTGACTCAACTTCTTGAGAGCATCACAAACACGGTCATGATAACTCCTCTCATCTCGATTATCGCTGTTTTCCAAATCGAGAACCTGCAAGGGCTGGCTATAGTTGTACTGGAAAGGCCGTTTTGCGGTGTTGGTGCTCTGATAAGACGATTGTTTTGTTGAAAAAGATTGCTTGCTGGAGAAAAGCGAGCTGCCTCCTCCTCCTTGTGTTGTCGAGTGCTTGCTGCTGGATGGTCCTATAGTTGTCGTGTCATTTGGGCTCATGATCAGTGGATTGAGATTCAACCCAGTATCGAAAAAGCCTGTTTCAGATGGGTTGTGCAGCAGCAGCAGCAGCAGCAGCAGCAGAGGTAGTACCAGCAGTGGCTGTTGGTTGGTTACCCCACCGAACATCGGTCTTAGTTCTCGCACCGAGTCGTACGACTCATGTGATATATTACTTTTGGTGGGCCGTAATGAGGATGATGTTCTAGATTTGGCGTCATCTTGACCCTGACCCCTCAGATTCTGCATATCTTGACTCAAGTCCGCATCATCATCAGCTTTATTTGCTCTGGAGAGGAATCTTCTCATTGTTTAATGTGGAAAGAAGAGTGGATGGGTATTGGCAATGTGATTACTGTTGAATTGCAGATATACGAGGCGAACTTTGTGAGATGAAATTTGAGTTGTAAAGGAAGCATTCATTTTTTTTTTTCTTGCAAGTTTAATTAAGACATCCACGTGACATAATCACCTGACCTCTCTCTTTTTTTTCTTTTTTTTTATTTCTCTCTCTCTGTAATATCTCTTGTGTCTCTGTAAAGGATGAAATCGGAACATGTACATCATTAGAGGTACACAAGTACATTAAGCGGAGAAAATGCAACACACGACTATAACTCCAGACAGACAGACTTTTTTATGCACTGCATTGTCTCTCTTCTCTCCCTTTCGAAGAAATTCTTCTATAACCCACATCAGTTCAAACGCATCTTCATAAGATCACATCATATCATATTCAATCTTACTTTGGCTTTGTACATAACTGCATGGAGTGAAATTTGTCAAACCACCAAAAGATTCCAACCGTTCACTGATAATCCTCTATTTTTTTTTTTTTCTTTCCCCTGTTCTCAGCACTGCAAAAAAAAAAAAAAAAGGCGACGACGGATATCTCATTCGACCCCACAAACTATTTTTTTTAGAGCCATTTTTCTTTATCACACATAGTTTCAGAGCTTGACTATCAGATTCAATCATGCCAGTGTATTCGATATCTCATGTTGAGAATGTCAGAGTTTGCGTGGTCATGGTCGGATTACCAGCTCGTGGTAAGTCCCTTATATCGCAGAAAATTGTTCGGTACTTGTCATGGTTGTCGATCAAGTCCAAGTGCTTTAATGTCGGAAACTATAGGCGCGAGGTGGCCAAGGAAACTGCCGTAAATGCCGAGTTTTTTGACCCAAAGAACGAAGAAGGCATGGCTTACAGAAAACAAGCCATAGACTTGGCCATAAAAGACATGATGAATTGGTTCGTCGAAGAAAATGGGGTCGTGGGGATTTTGGACGCTACAAACTCCACTCGCGAGAGGAGAGATAGGATTTTGAAGTTATGTCGTGAAAACTACATTGAGCCCATGTTTTTGGAGAGTTGGTGTGATGATAAGGAGCTCATATTGCAGAACATTATGGATGTAAAGACAACTTCTCCTGACTACGTTGCAAAACCTAACGAATTTGCTATGACAGATTTCCTCAAGAGGATTGAGTTTTACGAATCTGTGTATGAGTCGATGGATGCGACAACAGATTCGGAATTGACGTTTGTCAAGCTAGTGAATGTTAATTCCCAGATCATCTTGAATCGAATAGAGACCTACTTGGAAAGTCGTATTGTATATTACGTGATGAATTTACACATAAAACCCAGAAGCATCTGGTTGTCGAGACATGGTGAGTCAGAATTCAACCTAACTGGACAAATTGGTGGCGATGCCAATTTGTCAGAACGTGGATGGAGGTATGCTAAAAAGTTACCTGAACTTGTTCTCAAGTCATTGGGAGAAGAGCACAAGCACACGAACTTGACAGTGTGGACTTCAACTTTGAAGCGTACGCAACAAACCGCCTCGTTTTTGCCTTACAAGAAATTACAATGGAAAGCATTGGATGAACTAGATGCCGGTGAGTGTGATGGAATGACGTACGAGGAAATTGAAAAGGCATTTCCAGAAGATTTCAAAGCAAGAGACGACAACAAATATGAATACAGATATCGTGGTGGGGAATCTTATAGGGACATTGTCATACGATTGGAGCCCATTATTATGGAGTTGGAGCGTCAGGAGAACATCCTTATAATCACCCATCAAGCTGTATTGCGGTGCCTTTATGCATATTTCATGAATGTTCCGCAAGAGGAAAGTCCGTGGATGTCTATACCCTTGCACACCTTGATCAAGTTGGAGCCCAGAGCATACTCTACGTTAGTTTCGAGACTCAAAGCCGACATTCCAGCCGTCAGCACATACAAGGAAAAAGGAACGTCACAGTTGGGAGAGGCGAAATCCGGCGAAACCATTTTCAAAAGTAGAGATTTGTTACATAGCGGTGATGTGATTTAGAATATGAATATAGTCTACGTGAGATAATAGAGCTGTAATGAATTACATTGCAGATGATTCAATTTATTCATTTTCATTAGATAAACGTAAGTAGCTATACAGTATGTGGGTATTTCTTAACTTGATCCAATACTTTCTTCTCATACAATGCCGGATCTTTACTGAAGGCTTTCCAAGCTGGCTCTTGAGCTGGCGAATCGGGATTGGGCGTGTTTAATAACTCTTGCACTCCCAATAGTATTTGTTTCAAGGTTATTGCCGGCTTCCAATCCTGATCTTCGTTCAAAATACTCAAGCAAACAGTCCCACTGGGGTAGATGTTCGGATGGTAGAATCCTGGAGGAAATTTGACCTTTGGTGGCTTTGATGGGTACTCCGCCGGGAAGTCTAACCTAATTGGGTAAATTCCACCTTCCCATATTGTACCTGCTTTTCCTGGAATGCCTGCCTTCCACACAGTTAAGTCTAAGGATCCATCGGCACCCTTCACCGGTTTAGCAAAAAAGCCGAATGGATGATCTTTTCTCCATTGCTTTCTTTCCTCTTGTAATCTGATATTGCGAAGTGACATTTTCAAAGTGTGTGCTCAGTTGTTGTGAATGAAGAGCCCCAAGATTTATAAAGTATTAAGTAATAACAGTAGACCGAAATAAAATAAACAGTGTAGATGAACTAAAGCTGGGAGATGTCGAGTAGAGGTGAGGTGAGAAGTAGACTTGTGTGAGCTTCATAATTGTTTTGATGATTTGGGAAAAAGGTTTTTTTTTTTTTTATTTTTATTTTTCCTCTTGAAATGCCAATCTGCGCGTTACTTTGGCTTCATAAAGGTTCTCTTCAACCCGTTGTTGTTTTCATAGAGACAGTCTCTCCGTCCAAATCAAATGCTTATAGAAGAGCTCACCGGCAATAAGGACTCCCCATTGAGTGCGGATCCGTACAAAGATGCAACGTATACTTTTCCAAAGCCATCCAAAGATGAAAAGAATAAACAACTCATTGACGACTTTTTGAAGCCATCCGCAGAATTGAATTGGGAATTGCTTGATCTTGTACAAACGAAACCAGACGTCAACAGAGAAAAGATTATTCACAATTTGGTAATTAACCCGTCCAGTCTAAATCGGACAAAGATCCGTTTCAAGAGATCTGGAATTCAAGGAAAAATCTCGGGCTACCGTGAAGAAGTTGATCTCAATCAAGTGAATGCCACCGGGTCAAATTCTTTGAGTATCAACAGAGACTACTCTTCAAAAAGCGAAAGCATAAGAGGAAAGTCAGGGTTTCTACCCTTCCAACCGGGTGGTTTGTTACAGCAAGCCTCGATAGATCGTGAAGTCAAAGATACCACAGCAAACTTGCATAGAAATGAGTATGGGTTGTTTGATGTGCCACCAGGACTCTCACGAGGGTTGGAAGTTGGGGACACACAAAATCTAGCAGACTTAGATGACTTGCAGAAGGAAGACGTGGATCTGAATGAAGAAACAAATGAAATTGTTAAGGAGCGTACTTTATTGGATAGAGTGCATAACGAAAACACAAAGTCTGAACCAAAGGCAGAGCTCCCTTTTGATGCAAATGAAATAGAAGGATTGGTACCGTTTGATTACAAGTCATATAGATATGACGAGAAGAAACCGGTGGAGAAGCGTGACTGGGCTCACGTAGTCGACTTGGATCACAAAATTGAGGACTTCAACGAATTGGTCCCCAATATGGCGAGAACATGGCCCTTTGAACTTGACACTTTCCAAAAGGAAGCAGTGTTTCATTTAGAACAAGGTGATTCTGTATTTGTGGCCGCTCACACTTCTGCAGGTAAAACAGTTGTGGCTGAGTATGCAATTGCAATGGCAAAGAGGAACATGACAAAGTGTATATACACATCCCCTATCAAAGCATTGTCTAATCAAAAGTTTAGAGATTTCAAAGAAACATTCAAGGATATAGATGTTGGATTGATCACTGGTGATGTTCAGATCAATCCTGAAGCCAACTGTCTCATTATGACAACTGAAATTTTGCGATCGATGTTGTATCGTGGAGCGGATTTGATTAGAGATGTTGAGTTTGTCATTTTTGATGAAGTGCATTACGTGAATGATATAGATCGTGGTGTCGTTTGGGAAGAAGTGATCATCATGTTACCTGACCATGTCAAGTACATTTTACTATCGGCCACTGTTCCAAACACGTTTGAGTTTGCCAATTGGGTTGGTAGAACGAAACAGAAGGACATCTATGTTATTTCAACACCAAAAAGACCCGTGCCATTGGAGATCTTCATCTCAGCAAAAAACAAACTATTCAAAGTAGTTGACTCAAATAGGAGGTTCCTTGAGAGCGAATTTAAGGCTCACAAATCTTTGCTTGAAGCGGGAAACACTAAAAAGGCACTTCCATCAACTACAATGGGCTCTGGAAGTAGAGGTGGACCAGGCGGAACAGCGAGAGGTGGTAACAAAGCAGTTGGAAGAGGTGGCAGAGGCGGGGATGGCCGTGGCGGTCATGGCGGTCGTGGCGGTCGTGGCGGTCGTGGAGGACTGTCCAATCACGGAAACTTTTCCGGTCCGAGGAGGTTCGGCACTGATGGTCCAAACAAAAACACATGGCCAGAATTGGTACATTATATGAGGCTGAATAATTTGCTACCAGCAGTTATATTCGTGTTTTCGAAAAAGAAGTGTGAAACATATGCTGACTCCTTACACGGTGTCGATTTCTGTACCGCCAAGGAAAAATCTGAAATCCACATGTTCATAGATCGAGCAGTTGGAAGATTGAAAAAGGAGGATCGTGAATTGCCGCAAATTTTGAAGATTAGAGAGATGCTTAGTCGAGGAATAGCCGTACACCATGGAGGTCTATTGCCTATTGTGAAAGAATGCATTGAAATATTGTTTGCCAAGACGTTGGTGAAAGTCTTGTTTGCCACAGAAACTTTTGCAATGGGATTGAACTTGCCCACCAGAACAGTTGTGTTCAGCTCGACCAGAAAGCACGATGGTAGGGGGTTTAGAAATCTTTTACCGGGTGAATTTACTCAAATGTCTGGGAGAGCTGGTAGAAGAGGTTTGGATGCTACAGGTACTGTGATTGTCATGGCCTACAATGAAGCATTATCGCCTACCGATTTTAAAGAGGTTGCATTGGGAACTCCTACAAAATTGCAATCTCAGTTTAGGTTGACATATAATATGATCTTGAACTTGCTCAGGATCGAAGCGTTGAAGGTTGAAGAAATGATCAAGCACTCATTCAGTGAGAACTCCACCCAGGTTCTACTTCCCGAGAACAAAAAGCGTCATGAGGCTTTGACAAACACAATAAGCAGCTTAGTTTTGTCACCATGCAAGGAATGCGATTTGAAGAATGTCGAGGAGACTTGCAAGCTCATGCTTGAGTATGAAGACGTTTATGGTCAATGTGTGGTTGACATTCATAAATCGCCGATATTGAAGTCACAATTGTTGAGGATTGGAAGACTCGTGTGTTTCCGTGACAAAGAGTCAGTATCGAGAATTGGATTTGTTGTAAAGTCTGACAGTGTTAATGACAGTATATTCTTACTCACATTCCATCACGGAAGTGCATACGACACAACCGAGGAGAATTTCAAGTTGCCATACATACCAATCCGTGACTACTTGGTGAATAACTTTGCCAAAATTAGATACGGTGGTGGCCTAAAAGTAGTGTCGGTACCATACGAGAGCGTTCAATTTATTTGCAAATATGCCTTGAAGGTGCCTATTGGACGAGTTGTGGAAAACAACAGTGAAGACGTTAAGCAAGCGGAGGAGCAAATAAGATTGATTCTCAGGAGTCAAAACAGGCTAGATGAAATCAGCTTCGCTCAAACGAATCAGATCTCTCTCCATGATATGTGCGTTGAGAAGGAAAACATTTATGCAAAGATCTATGAGTTGCAAGCGTACACTTGTTCGAACTTTGCCCAGCATTATGCCGAGTATCGAAAAATGCATCTTCTTCAAAAGGAGTTGGAGGGACTTGAAAAGTTAATCTCAGATGAGAATTTGGATCTCTTGCCAGACTATGAACAAAGATTAGAAGTCCTCGAGACTCTTGGTTTCATTGACGAAAAGCACAATGTAGTGTTGAAAGGAAGAGTCGCATGTGAAATCAACTCTGGTTGGGAGTTGATCCTTACTGAGTTGGTCCTTGATAATTTCCTTGGTGATTTTGAACCGTCTGAGATTGTGGCACTTTTATCGTGTTTTGTTTATGAAGGCAGAACTCAAGAAGAAGAACCACCGTTGATTACACCTAGGTTGGAGAAGGGTAAAACCAGGATACTAGAGATTGCCGACAAGTTGCTTCGAGTGTTTATTGAAAAGAGAGTGTCTTTGACGTCAGAGGAGGAAGATTTTGTCGAGAGTAAACGATTTGCGTTGGTGAATGTTGTATATGAATGGGCTAATGGGTTGAGTTTTAACGAAATCATGGAAATTAGCGTTGAGTCCGAAGGTACGATTGTCAGAGTCATTACTCGATTGGATGAAATATGCCGTGAGGTGAAGAATGCTGCTTTGATTATTGGCGATTCGAAATTGCATTTGAAGATGGCTGAAGCACAAGAAAAGATCAAGAGAGATATCGTATTCTGTGCATCGCTATATCTATAGGTGCTAGATAGATGATTTGTATATACACGCATTAGGCACTTTGCTTCAATATGCCGAAGACGCCTCGTTTTCCATTGATGATCTTATCCATTAATTCCAGCAGACCTGGTCTGGGTTTGAACTGCATCAATCCGACCAAAGTAAAAAAACTTCCAATAGCCGTAGCACTGAATACCATCTTTTTCTTTGTTTCGAATTCGAATCGAGCAAGGTTTTCATTAATTAGTAGTTCCCTGTTCATCGCAACACAATTCGCAAGCCCATTCAATTTCATAAACTCGACAATTGTTTCATCATTCAATAGCCAAGCAAGATCCGACTCAATATCCGTTTCTGAATATGATAAGAAGCCAACATTTTGGAAGATCCTGAATTGATTAACCAAGGCAAGCTGGAACGTGGTTTTCCCTAGTCGTCGAAGTCGATCAGTTTCGATAAATGAAACATGCCCTTCATCATTCTCTATTCGTAGTTCCAAATTAGTGAGTCCATTGGAGATACACGCAAGCTCTTCATTCAGGAACTTCACTGGGTCAACATAGTTTATTAGGGATTGCACATGCTGTCGGTAGCTGGCATCACTGGGTGCGCTGGACACCCGCTGAAGTATATTTGAGCTATCTCTTTGTGCTCGTAACCTTGGCTCGTCCTTCTGGAAACTATGCGTCTGTGTCAAGTTATCTATAAAGGTGAAATGATTCAAAAATGAAGGCGTGGGGTTACTATAGATTTGTTGGTATCTTGGTAGTACTCTTGTGCTCACGTGTCTTCTCAATAATAGCGATAGTCGTATTGCTGTGTTTCTTATAATGTTTGAAGATTGTATCATAGCAGTAGTAGTAGTAGTAGTAGTAGTAGCGTTTTACCCATTAAAGCGTCTATTCCGTTGATATAGAGTTGCGGGCAATTTAAAGTTGTTGAAGAAAGGTGCACTTTTGCAACTCATCGTCTTCTATTTTTTTTTTTCTTTTTTAAGCTCTCTTTTTTTAGTCATTGGAAATTCAAATTATCAGATTGGATCGATTTGTAAAGACATCGGTGTCCGCACAATGTCATCGAAATCATCGGCTAAGAAGAAACAGGCTCCGACAGCTGACCCATCATCTCAATCAACCACCAAGAAGGTAAAAATTCCCAAATCATTCATCGTTCGTCCGCACTTATCATCTACTAAACTCAAGACCATAGCCAATGTCTACTTGAATCTGGAAGTTTTTGAAGCTTTAGAGTTGAAACCAAAAGACTTTGTGTATGTGAATCAACTCAATGGGCTGCCCGGTGTAATAGCTGTTGCTGTACCGTCTGACGATATATCAAGGAAGAATGTTGTCGCTCTATCGCATAGCTATAGACAACTCAGTGGTTTGCTTTTAGGAGATAGAGTCAACATTGAGAAATTCAATGGACAGCCACCTTATGCTCTGACAGTGACCATACATGGAGATAGCGAATCAATACCTGTCTTGGAAGACGTTGGGTTAATTTATCCAGGTTTGCAGATTGGCAACGGCGACAACAAACTCACAGTGATAGACGTACAAGGTGATATAGACGCCAGGTTGAACAAATTGTCTATATCTGACGAAGACAACGGCCCGATACGAACAGTTTCGCCCGCATACATCTACACACCACAAGCTACAATCGAGAAAACTGACGAAACATCTCCCTCCATTACGAAATATCCACTTTTACCGCGTCCACCTTGCTTTTCACAAGTGGGCGGGCTTGCAAAGCAAATCAGCCTACTCAAGTCAAACATTGGACTTCCCTTGCATAACCCTACGCTATTTTCTGATTTCGGCATTTCACCTCCCAGAGGTATATTGCTCCATGGCCCACCAGGAACTGGAAAGACAATGCTTCTTCGAAGCGCCGCAAACGATATAGATGCACACGTTTTGACAATAAATGGTCCTTCCATTGTCTCCAAGTACTTGGGAGAAACTGAGGGTGCAATTCGTGAGATATTTGAAGAGGCTTCACAATTTCAACCATCGATTATCTTGATGGATGAGATTGACTCGCTTGCTCCATCGCGTAATTCGGACGATTCTGGAGAGACAGAAAGTCGTGTTGTTGCTACACTATTGACGATGATGGATGGAATGGATAACAGCGGGCGGATAGTCGTTGTTGGTGCTACAAATCGACCAAATGCAATCGACATAGCTTTGCGTCGACCTGGTCGATTTGATCAAGAAATTGAAATCGGTATCCCCGATGTTGAGGCAAGACAAGATATCCTACAGAAACAGTTTGATAAAATGAACAAGGAAAAATACGATTTAACTGAGGAGGACATCGCGCTTGTGGCAACAAAGACTCACGGTTACGTTGGGGCTGACTTGACAGCTTTGTGCCGAGAGGCGGTAATGAAAGCTATCAATAGAGGATTGGCTAGTGGTGTAGTACTGCAAAAGGATATCAAAATGAATTTGAACGATGTGCTTGAAGCTTTAGGTGAAGTAAGACCTTCTGCTATGCGAGAAATTTTCTTGGAAATGCCAAAGGTGTACTGGTCTGATATTGGTGGACAAGAGGACTTGAAGAGAAAACTCGTTGAAGTCGTCCAGCTACCGTTGGAAGCGTCAGCGTCATTTGCAAAATTAGGTGTTAGTGCCCCCAAGGGAGTGCTTCTATATGGTCCGCCTGGCTGTTCCAAGACCCTAACAGCAAAGGCACTTGCAACTGAATCAGGACTCAATTTTTTGGCAATCAAAGGTCCAGAAATCTTCAACAAATACGTGGGTGAAAGTGAACGAACAATTCGGGAAGTTTTCCGCAAAGCTCGTGCAGCTGCTCCATCGATTATATTCTTGGATGAAATCGACGCCATTGCCAGTGACCGCGATGGCGATGGCGATGGCGATGGAGGAGGAACCACTGCCTCGAAAAATGTCTTGACTTCATTGTTGAACGAGATTGACGGTGTGGAGGAGTTGAAAGGGGTTGTCATTGTTGGTGCCACTAATAAACCAGCAGATATAGATGCGGCATTGCTCAGACCTGGTAGGTTGGACAGACACATATACGTGGCTCCGCCGAATTATGAAGCGAGATTGCAAATATTGACCAAATGCTGTCGTAAATTTGATTTAGTTGACGTTGATTTGTCACAATATGCTAAACTCACTGAGGGTTGTTCAGGTGCTGAAGTCACGTTGTTATGTCAAGAGGCGGGGTTGAATGCAATCATGGAAGATCGCAATGCGCAACATGTTGAAAACAGACATTTTGAACATGCTTTACGAGAAATCACTCGTGGTATTACACCAGAGATGTTGCTGTATTACGAACAGTTTTCTAAAAGGGCAGGATTAAATCTATAGACATCTTCAAAGTAGACGACGTTGTGCATTTACAATTTATTTGGTGTGCTCTATCACTGCTGTTGACACCCTTCTTGCAAACTCTTTTCCAAATCTCCTGGCAAATCTTTGCCATCAAAATCAAGTCCGTCTTTACCAGCACCACCAAAACCAGGCAAAAAGTCACCAGAATCCCCAACTAGCTCGGTTGGAGGTTGCCCCAACTCTTGCAAGCTTTCCAACAAGGCATTGATTTGATCTCGTTGTGCCTTATTTGAATCATTATAATTGTCACTGTTGAACACTTTCAAGATTTCATTAGATATGTCGTACTGTTTGCTATAGTTTGTGTATTGTTCCTGACTCAATTTATCCTTATTGTCCTTTAAGTATTGAGGGAATTTAGTGTTCAAATCCTTGATGGGCTCATACAACACCTCCTTTGAGCTCAATTGTTCCAACATATCCATCAACAATTTACTCATGTCCATATCTCCACCACCCAATCCACTTTCATTCATTCCTGCAAGAAGTTGAGTCAATATATCCTCGGGGTTAGTACCTGATGAGTCATTTTTAATTTTAGAGTCAATATCCTCACCCGATTTACGTAATCTCTCCATGGTTTCCTTCATGACATAATCGAAATTGGCGTTCTGTTGCGCACCAGACTCAGCTTCCGATCGATGGTTAGTTTCAAATTGTTTAACTAACGTTTCAAATTGTTTTTGGGTTTCGGGATCGTCAATTTTCATATCCTTGATTAATTCAGCAACAGAATTTTGGAAATCTTCATCAACTGGGTCGGTCGAAGGACCAGAGCCATCTTTGGCATCCTTCTTGGTAGTGGATCCTGTCTGTGATTGGCTCTCAAGGGCAGATCCCGGTGGTTTATTGAGCACGTCATCGGCAAAGTCATCTAATAAATCATCCAAGTCGTCAACATCGTCTCCACCGGAGCTTGATTTGATTTTGTCTTCTGATTTGTCTTGAGAGCTGGCAGTAGCAGGAGCAGCAGCAGCAGCATCATCGACCCTGTCGTTTTGAGTAGCAGCAGCAGCAGCAGTAGCGGTGGTATCTGCTGATTTACTAGTATTTTGTGCAGTAGTCGATGCTAAAACGGGCTTGTTATTGATTTCTTCTGACATGGTGAATATAAGTATCTAATTAGATATCAACTGTTTTCTATCAGATTTTTAAATAAAACAAGGACTGATATATGTACTCTTATACAAATTTTCACGGTTTATTCTAAATTTTTTTCCTTTTCCTATTTCTCATACGAGGGAGGAAAAAAAAAAAAATGAGTGTGAATGAATGAAAATTGAATAGATGAATGTGGGGCAGAGAAACAAAGGGAAAGGAGGGGAAAAAAAAAAGATTATAAGCAAAATTAAGGTCGCAAAACATAAGTGTCGCATTTATAATACAATATTTATGACAATGACTAGAAACGACGCTACCACCTCTGGTTTGATACTTGGTTGCAAAACCAGCAAGAACCAACGAGTGCATCGAAACCAAGTGCATGCACGAGCCACAATGCATTAGCATGGACAGCAGAATGAGAAAGGAGCACTATATGAACCACGGATAGACTTTCGAGACACGCGTTAGATTTTCGAAAGAGCACTATATACTTCCACATCTGATGAATC